GTCTGTCTGTCTGTCTGTCTGTGTGTGTGTGTCTGTCTGTCTGTGTGTGTGTGTGTCTGTCTGTCTATCTGTCTGTCTGTCTGTCTGTGTGTGTGTCTGTCTGTGTGTCTGTCTGTCTGTGTGTGTGTGTGTCTGTCTGTGTGTGTCTGTGTGTGTGTCTGTCTGTCTGTGTGTGTGTCTGTGTGTGTGTCTGTGTGTCTGTCTGTGTGTGTGTGTCTGTGTGTCTGTCTGTGTGTGTCTGTCTGTGTGTGTGTCTGTCTGTATGTGTGTGTCTGTCTGTGTGTCTGTCTGTGTGTGTGTCTGTCTGTCTGTGTGTGTGTCTGTCTGTCTGTCTGTGTGTGTCTGTGTGTGTGTCTGTGTGTGTGTCTGTCTCTGTCTCTCTGTGCTTGTCTCTGTCTCTCTGTCTGTCTCTGTCTGTCTGTCTGTCTGTCTCTGTCTGTCTGTCTGTCTCTGTCTGTCTGTCTCTGTGTGTGTGTGTGTGTGTGCGCGCGCGCGCGCGCGTGCGTGCGTGCGTGCGTGCGTGCGTGCGTGCGTGCGTGCGTGTGTGTCAACAAGAAAACAGTTTTACTATGAATTTCCTTCTGTCTACATTTCATTTGTTGTAATATGCAATACTTCACACAAGTAAAACATATTTTTAACAATGATCGGGAAGCAACAGGGTGATTATAGAAGACATTGAGTCAGCTCTTGATAATCCATACTACTTAGTTGTTTAAAATGAAATACTATACAATGTTAATTTGAAGTAATTTCCTCTTTGAGGCTGAAATAATTTCTAAGGGTTCTTTGTACTAAATATAATCTTAGATTTAAGCAAAATGGTGAAAATCAATACAAGTTCTGCTTACCAATGGTGACATCTGAGGAGCTGTGAGTTTCTAAAAATTTATTTAAGTGTTGCCACACTTTTGGTATCCAATCAAAAATTCTAATTAAGTCATTGTTGCGTATTCCCTCTTGTACTTCAGTCTCAATTAGTCGCCTTCGTAAATAACGACCCAGGAATCCTTTCACAGGTTCCATATGATTAGCACAAAGAATCCACCTGAAATAAGTTAAATAGCAGATGAATAAATAATATGAACAGTAGGAATAAGCAATACAATTACAAATCCAAGTAATTCCTAAATATATTTAATACCTAAAGTTATGGTGAAGTTGAAGGTTGGTTGTAGAACAAGTTGCTTGATTCATAGTTCCAATAATGTAAGGGCACTTGGCATACTTGGCATTTAGAAAACCATTAAATACTTCTCCAAGTGAGGCTGCATGGTGAAGATTGTCAAGGATAATGACAGAAGGCAAGTCAGAAGCATTGCTTTCACACTGTTCTGCCACGTTTGCCAAATACTGCCTCAGCTCTTTGCTGCTCTTGTGGTCCACACTAAAAGATAAAAGTTACACAAAATTTTGAGAATAAAATACAGTAAATGTAATTTAAAATAGCCAATTTCATTTGTTACATGTTTCTGTATTTGATGTATTAATATTACCAACAGTAAAAAATTAATTCCGGGAAAAATTAATTTTTCTTCACAAATATTTCTGCAACATGAGATCACTTCTGAATTCATTTTCAAATTCAAAAAAGTGGGGTGGTATACAAATGATATGTTGATAATTCAATTCTATGATTTTTTTTTTTCATTTCATGAATAAAAAGTCGATGTATAAATACAAGGAAAATAAATAATCACTGATAGACTTTGTATCAATAGACAACAGAAAAATATTAAAAGGTCTGCAAATTTAGCCTCTTCTTTCATTTATTAAAAGAAAAAACCTGAACTACCATGCTGAAATACACTGATCATGCCTTTATATTTATCTGCATATACTGAAAATTATATTAAAAATGCATTCTTACAACATTGTATTAAATTGTAATGTTGTATCTCATGCTTGACTAGTGATACAAAAAATTATTTGATACATAACATGTGATCAATGCTGTTCACATGCATAATTTGAAGACAATTAATAAACCCAACTAAAAGCAATTTCAATTTGCTAAAAGAATCAATTATAATTTATTTTCAAACAAGAAACAACAGACGAAAAGTGACACAGTTCCTACATTCAGTCATAAAAGAAAGTTTTCAACTTTGTTTCAAAAACGAAAGTGAATTGCAGACAGCAAATAGAAGAAACACTTAATATGCAGAAATATGATAAATTCAGAAATTACACAATAAGATTTTTTAACAGAAACGTTAATATGAATATATTAAATGTAGCCATTATCTGTTTATGTTACTTCTTTAAAAAAGCAATTATCAGTAATACTCGTAAATCTGTTATTTTTCACTTTCTGTTATTGAAGAATGATTCATGCAACATTCATATTTTTGACCTCATATTAATGTCAGCCATTTTGTAAATGACTTCTGTGGATGTGAAATATTGTGGTTGTTGCATGAAAGCAGATATGACACATTGACATTGTAGTTTGCATTAAATGTAACAAACTATTGAATTAAATTTTCAATTTAACTGGATTAACTCATTTTTTTCATTCATATGCATTGGAAACTGAATGCTTTAGTGCATCATTAGGGCTTAAAAATCCACCATATATTTGCACAACCATAGGAAGTAAATGAAGCAATTGAACAATAACCAAGAAGTATTGATTTTGTTTTGTTTTATGGTGGTAAATCATTATTATTAAACACAATGAAGAATTCAGCTGTATTTGCTACAAATGTGTAGGCATCCGTTACCTATCTGCTGTCAAATTATTTTCACAAAAGATTGAAAAAAAAATTTGTAATGTTTCCTATATAATTAAAGTACAAGTTCCGAAATGACACTAATGTACTTCAAATTCAATTTGAAATTAACATCAATATATTCGCTCATTTCCAAATATTTTATTTTTCTGGAAGCTGACAAAAAAATTAAATGAAAAATTATATTTGAACAGTTGTCAATAAAAACAATGCCAGACCGTAAATAATTTTTTTTCTTTTGAATGCATTTCCACGGATCCTCAATTTTGCATTATACAAATATACAAAGTTCATTCATATTCTCATCTGAAAGATATTCATTAATTTTTGCAAACTTGTATTGACCACCTTTAAGTTTTGTTTTCAGTCACCTATGTTTGAAACCACTGTTCCAGTCAGTACAGTTTAAAATACTCAATCGTTTTATTTAAAAAAATATTAGAATACAATATTCATTGAACAAAATGAAATGGTGCAACAAAAAGACCTTCAGATATTTAGTCATTTGATACAACAGTGGGACATATGCAAGAATTCATAATACTATGCAGTTATGTGTACGCATTACAGGTAAGAAACACAGATCTTCATGTTCTCGGTTGTCTGGGAGAAGCTGCATTGCCGGTTGGGTTACTGAAATTTTGATCCTAATTTTCCTTTGAATATGGTATGTACGTTAATTCCCACCCCAAAGACCAAAAACATGTGATTCAAAGTGAATGTTACCCAGTACAATGAAGTGCCTTTCAGAAAATCAACACTATCTACGTTGGTGGAAGCATGGAGGAAAAAAATTTGCCTCTACGGTGGACATTTGCGATTTCCCCATGCAAACTCTTACATAAAAAAAAACAACTCATTTCCTCTTCACGAGTATAAATTTATATTCAACTCTTGCTTGTTCACATACAACCACTCAATCACTAATTTTAATACTGCATAAAATATCTGAAGTGATGATATCCTTTCAAAATAACTAACATAAGACCTCCACATACATTTTCCACATGGTGCTGTACTAGTTTTCTTATAAACTAATAAAAAAAAAAAAAAAAATACCAAAAGATTTAAAAAGACAACCATTCACATTGATGTTATCATGAATTAACACTGAGTCTTACCATTAGTGAAAATCACACATCACAAAAACAAACAAACTTGAAATACATTTTGAAGGCACATAAAATTACGTATAGCAAGCATTTACAAATCTGCATAATCCAGTGGTCTCAAAAGACATACAGAATAGTCTCATAAATGTGTGTTTGTTATTACACGAGACAATAGATTGCCAAAAAGCCACAAAGCGTAATACACAATACTGCAGTTGTTACCAAACATGCTCCAATTTGAAGTGCAAAGGCCCAAAACTATCTTTCAGATCAATTCAACAACCATTCAAAAGACTTACCTTTCACAGTTCCTGTAGAGCAAGAGGAACATCATTTTATGTTAAATTATTTAAAAAAATATTTTTTTGAAAAATGACAAGTTAAAGCCAATAACAATATTAATGTTATGAATTTGTTCAGATCCACCTCCTTGTGCATGTTTACCTTCACGGGGCACATTCATTAATTGTAAGGTAGTTGAAGAAAAATTGTATATACTTACTTGAAAGTAGCAATGGCTTCAGCTGTCGACTCCTTTCCTTCCCGAAGAACAAGGAATTCTGCTAATTTATTGGCAAGGTACGATTTTCCAGTTCCACTGGGCCCACAGAGTATGATTCTTCTATGCTCCGTTAGGAGAGAAACATACCTAGAAACGCAATGAACATAAAATTTACTAAAGTTGACTCATAATCAGATTAAAGAAAAAGCAAAATATATCTAAGTGCTAAATCCCCAGAACAAAGATTTACAGCCAGTAAGAACGCAAGTGAAAAAAATGAAATTATATTTCCTTAATTCACTGTTCAAAAAAAGTGTTAAACATATCTCATAAAGGAGTTATCTTTAAGACTAAAAGCTCTTAATTCAATGCAGTCTTTATCAATAAGAAATGCTCATATTACTTCACAAGTTATTTTACCTTTGTACTATTGACTTTGGAATCAGCGTTTCAAACGCCAAAGCATCCACACTACCGCTGTGTAATGCACCCTTAAGGCACACATGGATGCACTTTGTGTTGCCCACAAGGTATCCATATGGTAACAATTCAGGTACTTCGCTGTCCTTGTACCGCACAACTTCACCAATGTGATAGCTCCACAGCGAATCTGCACTCAGACCAAGATTGGAAACAGGATCTACTCGCAGCACATATTCCTGGGAAAGAAGTGAACATATTATACAATAAAATAATATATACCGAGATTTCAAGTTAAATTAACTGTAAGGGTAGTAGAAAATTATTAGTAATAGACTCTTGTTAATACATCACAATTTTTTAATTAATTTAAGAATGATAATTAATCATACATCATTCTTTTATTAAAGAATACTGATAACTGAGTTTAAAACTAGTGCGCCATTTCTTTTTATTTTCAAACAATATTAAAGTTTTTCATTTGTTTTCCACAACACATTTTGAACAATCAAATCCTCAAATAAATGAACATAGTTACCATCAAGAACATCTGAGTACATTAAATATACCGTATTTGCTAGTGTGCAAGATGCGTTTTTTTTATAACTGTTTTAATATTAATACATAACATTACAAAAATCAAATTCCTATTATTGTACACAGATACTGTTATAATACTATTCAACTGTCCACATGGTTGTAGTAAATTATAGTTGCATTATCTGCTGACTGTGAGTCGAACATCAATTATGATATCTGTTGGGCCTGAGACTGATTCTCCCTCTTCACAAATTCTGGGATAATTTATGCCAATTTTCTTCTTATTGCAAATAAAGTTCCTTCAGTTGCTATTTACAATGAGTGAGAAGAAAATGTCTTACACAAGCTTACAAATGAAAAGTTGATGGATGGAAAAGTTGATGAACATGGTAATTGTGCAGCAGGATGGAAGTTAGGCTCACCTCCTTCTGAGAATACTATAAGTGACTGGCAAAAAGATAAGGAAAAACTCATTCTTTCTCTGAAAAATTAACAGTTTCCACAGGAAGAAACCTCAATGCCCAGATATTAGCAATGTTAGATTGAGTTTTGGAAAATAAAAAAACGGGATTTTTTATTTCTAGAAAATTGTACACACTAGCGGAACATCACTTTACTGTATAAATCAGATTTGTTCAGTTTTGGGTAATAGAGGCAAAAAATAAACTTTGAGCTGCACCCGTTTCAGTAAGAAAAATACATACCTTGAATACTCGGCGAACCATACAATCCAACATGTCCCACTTTGTTTTACTGCTAATTGATACAGCAGAAACAATACATTCAGCTGGAGTTCCATCTTCCATATATTTATGGTAGCTACCATGAGAACCCAAAAATACTGATACAGGCACACGTTTTCCATCTGGATCTACATTAAACAATCAATTAGTCATTATTCGATTAAATTTTGTTTACACCAATTATAAATTTATTTTACATGTTTACAGACTAACAATTAACAAAATGCGAAGATACATTGTAGTAGTGCTTAGTGATATGTAATGATCTAAAATGAACATACAGAGAATCAAATTAATTACCTGTTGGTGGAGGTATGGTGTGAGTCTCTGTTAAACTAAACCTCCTTTCAAGGCTATCTGTGACAGGTAGAGAGCTCTGAGATGATGTCAAAGATTTACTTGTAACAATCCTTTGCAACCTCTCATTATCTTGCTTGAGATTTAACATTTCATTCTATTAAATACAAATAAAGAATTAATTATAGTGAAAAATGCTAGCATTATTATATAGAATAATTAATGATTTTCTAAAAAAACAGGAAGAAAATAAATACAACTTATTTCTTAAATCTTATCCATAATCAGAAATGAAATATTCTTAACATTAATTTAAAAAAAAAAAATTTAATACTATAACATTTTCATGAGAGTAAAACAAAATACATACTCTCATCTTTATGACAGTATCTTTCAATGATTCTAATTGATGAGCAGAACTAAGAGCTTCCAATCTAATGTCCGTAAGAACAAGGTCTTTCTCACGCAACTGCTTTTTTAACTCTTCTACCACGTCATTATCAGAAGAATCTTGATCTTTGGCTCCACAGATACTGAAAAGAAAAAAATTATGATTATTCAATTTTTGTTTCAAACTTTGTAGTTACGTTCCATTAAAAATAACATGTACTTACGCAGAAGATGACTGACTGCTCTTTATGCCGTTGTTGCCATTCATTTGATGAGGTTCATTCAAGAGGGGTGAAGATGGGGCTGAAACATCTGAATGTAGACCTCTTGAATCCTCCACATCTGACACAGATCCATTTTTGTTTTTCTTGGACCGCGAAAAGGCTTTACTGAAGGAACTTCTAAGCTGCAATGACCACATGAAAGGTAACAGTAATAAAATTCCTTTATAATCTCTTTGAAACAAGCATTTGAAAAGAAGGACTGGCTAAAATTCTACTCACCCATCCTTTCTTTTTCTTCTTATGAGATGAACCATCATGCGCATGGGCAGAACTAGAAAGGCTGCATGCAGAAGAAAGAGAGTTTATACTTGATACAGAATCAGCAGAGAGCTGTCTTGAAATGTTATTGGTTCCTGAAAAAAATAATTATAACAACTTTATTAGAGAATGATATCAATATTTGACAGAAAACTAATTCAGATCCAAATGTAATAATTACCAGCAAGGGCTGCTCCTGCATTAATTGTATGCCTTCGTGACAAAGAAGGTGACATACTCTGCAGGTGAGCTGAAGTGAGCCCAGCCTCAACACTCTGTTTGCGAAGTAACTCAATTGTTTGCCGCAATTCAAGTAGCTCAGAATCCTGAAAGAATCAAATAACTTAAATCAATGATTTTTTATTTCACAAACTAATAAACATGAATGTTATTGATAATCATTATGGATATTTCTTTATGGCAATCAGGTTCCAATAATTCTGACCTTTCTTTCTGCTGTAGAAGTCAGATGCTGTAACCTCTGGGTCATGTTGGACAAGGATTGTTCAAAAGCTGACACCACATGAGCCTGAAGAAACAAAAATAATCACTACACATCTAGTCATACATACATACAGTACACATAAATTTTAAAAATCAATTTCTTAATAGAACTACTGAAACACATTACTTTCAATGAGGCAAATGAGGCTTCTATATTATTATTTATAGTTTGATATACTAGCAATATTTATAGGTCCATCAAAAATGAATCATGCTTTGATTTCTTCAGTTCTTAAGCACATTTCTCTGGAAAGTGATATAGGGATCTATAAATAGATCCTCTCAAGATCTACTTATGATTTTTTTCCAGGAGAGGATTTATCTCCCCTCCTGCTCAAAATTATCTACAAGTGCCACTACAACCTATATTTAGGCAGCTATTTTTTGTTTACATAAAGGCAACCCCCGTCCCCCTTTTTTAAGAAAATATGTTGGTACTGACATGTAAAAGTTGACAGTTGTGTAATATTAGAGAATATCAGTAATATCATACGAGTCAAGTACCTCAAAAAACAAAACAAAAAATTACAAAATGCTGTTTTATATCAGAATCATATTAGTGGGTTCACAAACATAACAGATCAAGTCTACTTTTTAAGAAAATTGTAATAATGTGTTTATGTGGTCAAGGAAACAAATTTTTTGTTCCCTACTATAGTGAACCAAGTTCATAGTTCTCAAGCTGGTGCAGTGTTTTTTTTAATTTATTTCTTCACTGGAAATTATTATCTGTTGAAAACTTTGAAGCTGAATTTCTCAGTCATGTCAAACAGACTTGGACTGTTTTTGTTGTGAACCCCTCATATACTTTTCAAAATATTGTTATAAAAGAAATGGGTACTTTAATTCATCTTGATGATATATAATAATTTTCTTTATTTCTTTATTCCTTTTTTAAAAGAAGAAAGAGTCAATTTGTGCCATAGACACTACAAATATTGTTATGTTTACTCAAAGCAACATAGACGTATTTCTAAACAAGTTGTGAAAATATCATTGATTATTACTACTTCATTCTTATTCATGTCTGAAGATACTTTTCTGATTTATAAACACATTCAATCCCAACAAAACTAGTTAATGAAACATGCAAATAATAGTAGGGGAAGAAAAACATAATGAGAAAGGAAAAGAGGAAAGGAGATAAAATACAGTTGGTGTGCACTCTAGATTTAACAAACGAGATATTCACAGCCAGTATGTTCATCAGTATATGCTCTCTAAGGGAGAATAAAAGTGAGAATGAAAAACATCTAAGGATGGAGAAGTGGATCCTAAATCAAATGTCTCAGGGACATAGACACGCTTTTTCTGGAGAGGCGAAGGAAAGCATAACTGCAATTCAAATACACATTTTTTTAATATGATCCATTATTTCGCAAAGAAATGTTGATTTTTTTTAGTTTCAACTTTCTTTGCCTGTTTAGATTATTCACATCATCATCATCATCATCGTAGTCGACATAATCCCAGCATGTTTAGGTCATTGGTCTTTATGTCATTACGATAATCCTCCTCCTCCTCCTGACATGCGTTGTTACCTGCAGCTGCGGGCAGCTGAGGCAGCGCGGGCGCGGCGGTGGGCGGGGCCGCGCCGCCAGCTCCCACCACGGCACGGAGGGGCCCGCGCGGCGGCGGCCCGGCGGGTTCGCCCCGCCCCCGCCGCCCACCGCTTCCTCCCACAGGGGGTCGAGGGGGCGGCAGCGGGCGGGGCACGGGGACGCCGCGGCCGAGGCGGAGTGGGCGGCGACGAGGGCGGCGGCGCGCGGGCCGCGGAGGGTGGCGAAGCCGTCGGGGGTGAGGCGCGGGGCCTGGGCGGAAGCTCCCGCTGCCGCTGGCGCCGCTGCGCAGGAGCACACAGCCCTTGCTATCTCTTTCTCTCTCTCTCTCTCTCTCTTTCTGGTGCGCGCCGTGCGGGGCGGAGCCGCACGCGGCCCAACGGGCGCCCTCCCGAAGGGTCGATACGCTGCCACGCGCCGACGCCCGGTCGTCGCCCTGCCCTCGCGCACCCAGCATTCTTATGCGCCCGCCAAACACGTGGGAGGATTCGCTTCCGGGGCAGAGGGCGCTCCTGTAGAACCGCGCAGCGAGTGACCTGGCTCCCCCCCCC